GAGCAGAGCAGTGACCCAATAGTGTCAAAATGCCTCTTGGCTTGTGACACCGGTGGGGAAAGAGCCTTGCAAAGCTGCTGCCCACGAGCTGAGCTCTGCAGGATCTGCAGGCGAGAGTTTTAGGGGATGGTTTTGTTCAGGGAAGGGTAGCGGGGGTCCCGACGGCCGGGAGAGGTCCGTGCTGCAGCCCCCGCGCTCCTGCCGTGCTGCGGCCTGACCCTTGTCTGTGTTTCCTCCTCTCTCCGCGGGCGAGGATCCCCGGACAGGAGGTCACTTCGTGCCCACCCGCCACGCCAGCACCCAGCCATCACCTAGGTAGTACCTTCTCGTGTTTCTGATGCATGCGGAAGGGCGAGGGACCTGCAGGCTTGCCAGCATGCTCCGCTCCCCCAGCTCGCACTAATCCAGGGCGTGAACTGGTTTGGTTTCGTCTTTTGCTCCGGCTGCAGAGCTTCTGGAGGCGGGAGTGCATGGGGGTTGCCGGAGGTGACCCTGCAGCTGGGCATGATGGCTGCATGCTCCGGGGTGGGGGAAGATGAAAACCCAAGGGAGGGTTTTAATCGGACTCCCAATTTGGTTTTAATTTTATTGTTTTGAGAGATTGAGCCCTGAAAGTCTTTCAGGGGGAAAAACCTCCTGCTTTTTCCCTTGTCTTCCTTCTCGCTGCCTCCTGTCCCTTTCCACGGAGGGGGAAGGTGGAAGCTTCAAAAAAGGCCCTGAATAGCCAGACCTGGCAGCCAGACCCTGCCTTCCAGCTGAGGGTGGAGAGTGGGCGCCAACCTCTTGGACCAAAAGCGAACCTTTCTCCCCTCAAAATGTTGTCTGGGCCCAGGAGCCACCTTCCTCCTAACCCTGCATGAACAATAAGGCTCCGGCCAGTGCTGCTGCTCTCGCTGGGCTGCTGAGCCTGCGGGGACCCGCTGGGTGCTGGGGTGCAGCAACCTCTGCGCCGGGGTGCAGCCCCCCCGGCACGGGGTCCTGGGGAGGGCTGGTCCCGAGCATCGCTGGGGTGACCCCAGGGGACTCGTAGCCCCGAGGGATCCCCTGTGAGGGGACGAGGGCTGGCGCTGGCTCTGCCGGCAGAGCCTTCCTCCCGCTCGGTGCCAGTGAGGGTGCACAAGGCGGCAAGGCTCGGGCAGGGAGGGGAGGACCATGCCTGGCTCCTGCAGTGCCAGGACCTCGTGGCAGGGTGGAGATGGAGCTCTCACCCTCCTGTCTGTGTCTCTCCCCACTTCTCTGCCTCCCTGCAGGTGACAGTGGTGTGCTGGGTGGAGGAGATGCCGGCGAGTAACGAGCAGTCCCTGTCTCCCCAGGCCGAGCACGCTGGCATCCGGACCTACTTCTTCAGCGCCGAGAACACGGAGGAGCAGGAGTCCTGGATCCAAGCCATGGGCGAAGCCGCCCGGGTGCAGATCCCCCCGACCCAGAGGTCAGCACCCACCGTCTCCCCATGCCACCCCGCTCCCCTCGTCTCTTGGAGATGGAGTGGAGGGGTCTTGTGTTGCAGGCGGGGACCTCCTGGGAGCGTGAGGGTCCCTTGGGAGAGCAGAGCTGGGGGACCATTGGCCCCCCAAGGCTGAGGGAGGGACGGGACGTTACCGGCCACACCAGGGGCGTTGTGAATCCCCCCTGTTTTGACACCACCCGGCCACGAAAACCCAGACTCTGAAAACATCCCCCCCAGCAAACACCACCACCACCATCGCAATGCCACCCACCGTGAGCACCCCAAAGCTGACCCTGACGCCAAGACCCGGGGGGAAGGCGACGGCCGTGGCTCGGGGAAGATCGAGAGGAAGCCGGGGGGGGTGGGGGGGCA